TCAAGATATAAATGCAATGTCGGGATTAACACGTAGAAAAAGGTAAAGCAATATGCGCTGGAATTCTAGTAAATTTTATGAAATTGGCGAATTCATTTATAGGGATAGGCGACTTTACTTTTCTGATAAATTAGCAATCGTCATATAGTCATATACTGTACTCTCTCTTTTCATAAAATAAATTTTATGCTACTGCAATTTATTACTATTTCTTAATCTATAAATTACCATCTAATTAGAATTTACTTCATCAACGGGCATATTTTATTTTAGCGCTGACAAAATTTATTTCACTTCGCGATAAAAGTGTAAGTGTGTCTTGAAAATAATATATAATTCATTTTATTGTAAAGTAAAGTAATAAATTAATTTCGAATGGCTTTACTACAAGTGCAATGTATTCTTCATCTTACACCTTCGGTATTTTTTACTTTCAGGCAAGCAAAGTTTGTCATAAGTTTATCAAAAATAGCCAGAATATTTTTACTAAACTCGCGCGCGTGTGTGTGTGTGTGTGCGACTATCCATTTTTCTCCGTCCAATCGGTAAAATAATTGCAGACGTCAACTCGAAAATGACAAAATTTATTAACGGCGAATCTTCTTGGAAGACAGGTATTTTTTTGCGAATCGTTCCATAATCATTTTCGCACCATTTATCTCATCAGCTTCATTACTTTCACTCGAATTCCAATGGCATATTCGCGCAACCGGTTTACCGGCGCACGCATTTTTTTTGTCATCCGCTCCACCTCCGATTCCAAATTCCGAAGATATCGGTCGAACTACTTCGCCAGGTATTAGCGAACAGGAATTCTCCGCTGACGTCTGCATCGCAGTCAAACATCTCATTCCCTTATGGAATGTTACTTCGCCATGCGAGCTATATTTTCCAATAAGACCCACGTTAGCTACAAGTGGCACAACATCGTGAAACTTTGTACAAACGCGTAAACGCGAAAAGACGCGCGGTTATTTATCGAAATTATCCGCGATAGCTCGCCCACCACCATCGAATAGACATCGCGTCGGCCGGCGGCAATTTCATAGGAATACAATCGCAAATGGGATACACGGGGTAAATCATAACGCTGGCATTTTTATACCGTACTCAACCGACCGTGCATCTACGAGACATTCCGGTGTAACTCACGATTCACGTGTAAGTGGCTCGTTAAATTCTAACGCCGCCCATATGCGCGCTTGCTTCCCTAACGTCCCTTCGCTATTCGTGCATGTTTAAAATCGTCAAGCCGCGCCTTCGCGTCTTCGCGTAAACGCCATCGTTTTACGACTGTCTGCAGGTAACGCCGTCGCGAATCTCTCCGACGGCATTCGCGATCCACTTGTCAATTGATTGATGATCGGAAGGCGAATCGAGAAGAAGCAGAAATGAAAAACGTCGATGGATATTTCGAACCACCGTGTTTCCTCAGCTGTCGGGTATAGAAAGAAGAAAAAAAAAATGCGAGTCTCACGGTCGCCTCTTTGTCGTATCTCCCGATTCCTCAGTTCGCGCAGAATCACACGGATTCGTCCTAAAGAGCGATCCTCTTCTCCTTATTTTCTTTTCTTTCGTCTCGCCTTCGTTTTCTCGAAGAGGATCATTCTCTTCTCATCCTCCCGCTCTCGCTGTCCGTCGGTCGATAATAAACGATATGCGTCACACAGGCTCGCGAAAATATTAAACACAGTCGCGCATTTATGACACGGCCGCGGTGGGAAAGAGAGAGGGGCCCCGATCGTTGGGCCCTCGGGACTCAGTGGGGGGAAAAAAAAAGGAAGAAAGGGCGAGCGTGCGAAGGAAGCGGGTGTTCTCCCCCCTCCCCCTCCCCCGCCCTCGCCCCCGTCGACGAATTTATAGAGGAGAAATTAGGAGGTTTATAGAAGCTGTGCGCGGTAGCTAACCGTAGATCATCATTAGAGGCCCAACTGGGCTGCTATGTGCGGATACATATGTGCCGCGGGTCCGGCTACATATTTACCTGGCCACGGCGACCGACAGGTATGCCGATGCGGCGTGGAGAGCACACGCGTGTTAGAGGCGCGGCCCTCTCGTGCGTGTGCCTCATGCCGGTAGGAGGTTTTACAGCGCGCGAGAATATTTTTCTCCGACGCGTTCCGATGCGTTTACGTAGCCGTTGCCTGCGGACAAACCCGCGGATCAACGGCGGCTCGGATAAGTTGATTGGTGGAATAGTTACCGACCTAATTAAATAAACAAATATCGAAGTGAAAGGAGTAAAATTTCGTGATAAATTAAAGTTGCGGGAACTCTTGTTCTAAGGAGAATAAAAGTTTAATAAATGAATGTTATGTGATAAATTTTTACATAGTAAACAAGGTATTTACAAGATAATAAAAAAGCATCTATATAAGTCTAAAAATCCATATTTATGAAGTTAAAAAAACTCCATTGTTGTTTTTATATATAAGTGCTCTGTGTATTGAACATTTCTGTACAGTTCTTTGGAAAAAAAAGCACTTTAAATGTTTGTCAATAAATGCGTGAGACAACAAGAATTGTCAAAAGAACTCGTATTGATTTTATTTATCAGAATTTTTTCATTATGTTGCTAAAAATACTCGTTTCCTCATTTCAGAAGTGACACAACTTATAAAGCGAAATTTTCTGGGAAGAAAGTTTCAACGATTTAAAAATCATTAAAATTTTGTAATATTAATTTTTTAATCATTTTTTTTTATAGTATATTAATATTTTTAAATAGCATTTTGATATAATCACTAATTTTGTAGAAGAACAAAGCTTCTTCAAGTACATTCTTTCTTTGTTTTCACACGTTTTCTAACTTTTTCTGCGAGGCAACTAAAAAAATGACAATTTCTTATTCATGTCGCCGCTGTATATATAGCGAGTGAAATGATATGCCGTTACACATTAAAAATTGAGTTCAATTTCAGAGGATGGAAAGCTACGGAAGGCAGCTTTGCCGTACTATTTAATTAGGGCAGAAGTGAAACTCTCGTATTAATTGCGAGCGAGGTAATTTTTCCCCTCTTTTTAAGGCGCTCATCGTAAATTACGCGCACGATATTTATCTGTGATATCCAATGAGCTCTTCTCTTTGTGAGCGCGCGAGCCCGTCGTATTTTTCTTCGTTGCGTGCCACTGTCGTTACGACGTGAAATAAATGCTTGTGCATGTACAAAGCACATATACGAAGGTATATAGTTAGTTATTAACGGCGCACGCTGTGAGATCCGCGTTGCACCGAGCTCTCCCCGGAAAGGCGCAAGTGGAAGAGGAGAAAGCGAGAAAGGGAGGTGGGAGCTTTCAGTTCCGTGAATTTCGAGAAAACTTACCGCGCGTGTAGGTGGAGAGGTGTATATAGAATGCACAAAGGCACGAGACTACTTTGTGAGAGTCCCTAATGGACGCTGGGTAATGATGTCGACGAAAGATTGTACTTCATGCGTAACTCCATCGCCTTTGGTACTATCCGCACGAGGAGTTTTCACCGGAAAATTTCGCTCTGTTATAATGTCGCATTAAGCACATGACGGCTTTGCTAAAATACCGTAAAGATCATAATAAAATACCGCGTTGTACGGATAGGGGAGCACAAAGCGTTATCAATTATTGTCCAGTCCTCTGCTATATACGAGTCGATAATAACACACGACTTATTCTATGATTTATTGCATTCGTGTATTGTGAAGAATGCACTTTAATTTGACAGTCTGTAAATTATTTAATTCTAAAGTAACATTGATTTATTAGTCAGTTAGGTTGAGCCGATAAATTAAATAATTACGAGATTTAGCATTATCCCTCGCGCCGCTGAGTACGCTTAACGTTACCCGCATGTTCATTGCGGCATGCTTCCTCGCGCGTGAAACGTCTATGAGTACTTAATCAAAATGTTGTAATCGTGGCATTAAAAAATTCCGAGATCTCCTAACCCCGCGCGCGCGCGCGCCTGTGTATGCGTGGATATTCAAAGTATGACTCGCGCGTAACGGTGCGACTAACAATTGGCAATAAAGGGCAATCGGTAGGTCTTTCACGGAATAGCGGTATATTTTTACGGCCAAGTAACGTACCCTTGCTTACCGGGAGAGAAGAATCTCGCCGGAAAGAAGTGAAAGGACGACGCGTATCCACGGATCCCGGCCATTAGATACGGTCCGGCACCATTACGAAATGTTCGTAACATAACGAATTATCGGTATCCGTGCGTCATCGTCGCCATTATAATTCTCTTCCAGGCCTCCAATTAACCTCGTCGATGCCTTTCATCGAACGGCCATCCGTTCATGTATTCCGTTATCACTCGCTATTACAGAACGTACACGCGAATTTACTTGGTCGTAATTGGATCCGAAATAAGCAACTTTACAGCCTATTTGACAGCTCTCGTGACAAGATTTACGATTTTTCTTTGTGCAAGAAACGACAGGAGCATTGTAGTTGTGTCAACGGTTACTATTGTCGCCGCATGTTTTTGGGATCCCAGAAACACTTCAGACTATTGGCGCCATAACGCCCACAAACTCTGGTTGGTTCATTCACAATCTAGTCTCTTAAAAAGTATGGAAATTCCAGTTCGAGATCTGTCGGTCAAAGAACTATCGAGATTGTCCAGGGATCATGATATATAAAATCCATATATTATTAAAAAAAAACAATGTTAAAAAAGATTATTTTTGCCCACTAATGGAAACAGTGAATCTTATAGATTTCAAGCTGCTGAACACGATGGTATTATTAAAGTTGAAAATGTGGGGAACACTTCGCCTATTTTCCAGTAAAAATAAAACGTTTTTTGCGTTTCCATCAGTGGGGAAAAAAAACGGCTTCTTTAACATTGTTCTTACTTCAATCTTTAAAGTTGAATGTAAATTTTATTGAATATTAAAAAAAAAAAAAATAAATACGTATCTCAAGTCTCTTCGTTGAACTTCTTCCAACATCCGTCTTTCGCTGTCTGCCTCGGTTTTCGCAAGAGTATGTCAAGCCGCGAGTGTGCTCAATAATACACGGTTCGCCTGGTGATACATGAAGTGGCGGTTAGTGGTAGCCAACAGTTTGGCCAAGCGACGGAAAAGCAGCATCGCGTCTGTCGTGCTTCCGCAAAGCAGCGTACCTCTATCTCTACCTGGCTGAGACGGGCACGGCGCGGTCCAAGGCCGGTCTGCCGCAGAAACTGCTAAATCTCCCGTAGTGGTGGTAAACACCATCAGTGTAAGCCGCAAATCCTGGCTTAACCCGAGCCTATGAATTGGTTAAAGGTCGCGTTAACTGGGCTCGCCCCGTGTCACCAACGAGAAGAAGCGCCGCGCGGCTCTTTCTCTCTCTCAGGTATTACATACCTTCGTCCCTTCATACCGATCTCGTCCTTCATCTCTTTCGGATACTCCTCTGGCGCTTTCTCTGAGAGAGAGGAATCTAATTGGCGAAACCGAAAGATTTCGTTCGAAATCCCTCCTTGGATTATCATCGATAGCTATATGTATCTATAAATAGACACACCCATTTGCTTCCGAATGCAGGGATAAAATATTGTTCGGTCGAAATACGCACCTCTCCTTGGTAAGGGTTGAAGCCTCGTCGACGATTCTTTAAGTATCGGGAGTTAAGCGTGAATAACGCGGCCCTTTGATCGCCAGGTATGCCGTGCGCTCGCATTTCTATATGTAAAGCTCGTTACCAAACTCCCTGCTTCGACCGGATGCTGCGATCAAATAACGAGCCTCCGACTCCGAGCCAGAGATGCAAGTAGTAATCTCATTATTTGCCGAACGTGTGTCGCTACAATGAATGAATGATTCCTATGTAGCCGTCGTTTTCCGCATGTTTTCGCATGTTCGCTTCATGTTGTATCCATTCATTCATTCATTCGATCGATATTCAGAATCGACTTATTGAAGAAAATTATTTCAAGTAAACGAAAATGCCACTTCTGTTACATTCTGTTGGGAAAGTAACGGTTCTATTGTGTTACTGTCTTCTTTTACTGTCAGATCTGCATTAGGAATATGTGAACGGTTTCTTGGAATTTCTGAGAAAACGCCAATTCCAATTTGTGTAATCGCTCGAGGACTATTTGAGAAATAATAAAATGATGTTTTAAGTAACAAGATTTTCCGCGTTAGTAGCTGGTTCCTTATAAAAGTATCGATTGGTATTCGCGAAGTGTCGAACAACAATGTTTTACTAGAGATTATCGATTTGCGAGCTTCATTTAATTTTACTGCAATGTCGCGTAAGCTCATAATTTCGAGAACAAAAGTTAGCACACAAAGAAATCTTTATCCCTCGATGCACAAATGCTATTTATTGACGTACGTGTTATACGGCAAAAGCTCATTAATTATTAATCTTCACGTTTGATGTATTTTCATAAATGAATTTAATTTTCAACACAAGTTTGCACTGTACGAAGATTCGTTTTGGACATTTTACAAACATATTTTCGTATACATGAATATAACAAGTGAAAACATTTAAAGAATTTGGCAGAAAATTTTTGACAAAATTTATAATTTGTGTGTACATAAAAATTTAGAACAATTATTTCCTATGCATTTTGAAAAAGATGCCATTATAATATGATATTAAAAAAATCAGTAGATTTTAGTATAGAATAGTATATTAAATTTCTAGCGATTATATGTATAAATTGAAGAAAAATCTACTGTTACAGTAAAATAATCGCGTCGAAAAGAACTTATCGTTATTGTATATTACAAAGAAAACATTTAATCTGATCTGCTATAAATACACATTCAAAACAAAGAGAAAAGAAAAGGAAGAAAAAAAAATAGAAGAAAAAACATTGTCTTTTTCGTTTTCTTCTTTTCTTCGACTCTTTCTTTCTTTTCTTTATTTCTTCTAGAAACACGAATGAATGTAAGCGACGGAAAAAATTAACGGAACCATCTGAGAATCTAACCCGAGGGATACTTCATTTTTTATATATAATACATATATACCTCTCACTCTGGTTTTGTATTTAAATCGATGACTGCTAATCGATCGTACTGCCCTATATTCTTAAATATGTATTTATACGAAATAAGACTAAACTATTTTCTCGTTTCGTAATGTAATATTAAGTTCTTTCCAACGCAATCATTTTATCACAACAATAGACGCGCCATCGACGCACACTCTTTTTCTCGCTTTCGACGAATATCAAACATAGGTATACCTATCTCATTTTAAGTTTCAAAAGTGTATATACACTTATAGTCACATTAAGCAGACTGACCTCTAGACTGATCTCGGGTCGAATACGGATATATTCGACAATTATACAATTGAAACACAACTTGTGTCGTTGTGTGCAAGGAAGTGTCTAAGGATGATGCAATTAGAAGGCACTCCATCGCATACTTGAAATGAAAATCGAATTCGCCGAGTTTTCGCGGCCCATAGTTCGCACGCATATAAGGACGCAGAACGCGCGTCCAGAGAATGGGATGCGATCGCGTTCTCAACGCTGCGAGAACCCAACAATGGGCAGCTTCGATCTCCGTATTCGGGAGTCGTACACAATGCGGCGCGCTGACGTGTTTATATAGCTGCGCGCGGAGGGCGTCGAAACGGGACGTACAGCGTGTAATTTAGTTATAGATCAGTTTGTTACAATTTGGCGTTTCGTTTGTGCGGGCCCTGTAAACGCTGTTTACCCAGGCTCCCGATGATCGACGAGTAAACGCGGTCTGTTTAGAGACTGACGCGAACGGGCCCCGTCACGGCCTATACTTCTCCCCTTCTTCCTCTTTTTCTTCTTTTCTACATTATGAATTTCTTCAAAGATACACGCGTATCGAGAAAGAAATATTCCTCCTCCGGAAAATTTCTTATATGTTTAAATGTATAGTCGGGGTTAAAATAGTTGACATTCTTTATTTGTAATAACTGTCATTTTAATAGCTATCATCGTAATATTAACTATAGATATTCAAATTATAAAATACTACAAATTTTTTATGAGTTTTGGAATTGAATTACTCTGATATTTCTATGGCTTATATCATTTTGGATATCGTTTCTTTATTTGAAAGTTTTTGCAGACGATTAAGTATAACAAGTGTATTTGTTGTCTCTTAATTAGTCTGGATAATCGATATCTTGATGTATCATCCAATTCGAGTTTTTTACAGATTCGGAAAAAGATTGTCTATGAAACAATGCTACTGAAGCATTTAGATTTCAGTAAAATATGAAAAATTCAATTCTTTGAAATTTCGAGTCCGCAAAAGAATGACATAATTCAATAACACTTACATTTATTAAACATTTCAAAATTTAAAGAACTTAAATAACGTCATTTCGAATTAAATAATATTCATGTTTATGTTTTAAAAAACGGCGCCAGAACCTCTTGACTTTGACGAGTCTTTCGAGATTATGTTAGTTTTCCTATTCTATAATTCTCAAATCGTATGAAAGGATCAGCACTTTTACAAACAGCTTTTCTAAGACATTCCACTGGGACATCGATGAAATATCTAATGTGAATCAATAGTAATTTCTTTTTCCTTCTAAATGACCTTTCTAAGTTTTGACAGCTGACATAATGTCAATGATTAAATATATAACGAAAGAGTTTACATTTTTGCACGATATTCTCATTGTTAGATTATTCATCTTATTCTTAGATTTTGCAGACAAAAATCTATTATGTTCTTGGTGGAAGTCTTCTTTCACCATGATTATATCTAGAACACCTTCAGGGATTTAAAATCCCATTTTAAAATTCATTTTGCAAGAAACGAGAAATGTAAATAAGATATTGGACAATGATGATGTAGCTGATGACGCAGCACGAACTCCATAGAAACAGAAATTTCACAAAATATTTGGGGAACAATAATATAGAATAATAATGATCTGAGGACCTTCTGTTTTTAAGATATTACTATTTGTACAATGTCTGCTCCAAAGTTGATGCATCTAAGCTAACTATTTAGTATTAAAAAGTTAATTGTAGCAGTAGAAAACATATTCTCACATACAGTTATCTTCTTTTTCTTCTTCGATTGTAGAAAGAAACTTCGATTGTAATATTCGAAATTTAGAATTATAATTGATATAAGTTACTTAATCTTTTCTCAATCGGTATATAGATACGCACAAATAATTATATGAATAATCATAATCATTAAGCTTTTAATGAAACTATCCGTATTGTAGGCGGTATACGTTTTGATAAAGAATATATTATTTCGATTCATATCCGGAAATAAAAGATATCAAAATTCGAAATTAGAGGTGACTTTTCTAACAATTTCCTATCGAATTACGTATTTATGCGACAAAGCCAAAGTGACGAGAAAACCATAAATAAAAGGAAAAATGCGTTGAGAATCATGGCGACATGTTGGTGACATGAGACTTCGGTCGAGGTACGACAGATTCATTATTCTAACTTGACACAATCCACCTGTCAGAAGAATCGAACTACAAGGAAGAAAATAGAAAGATTCAGGTATAGACTACGATACAGAAAAATAACCCGACTTCAGCAAACTTATATTTCGATAGATGGGTTCGACATTTCAATGGATCTTCGTTATAGTTTCGTATAGCGTCGAAGGTCAATATACGTTCAGAGTCCGTCGTCGTGTCTTTCAAAACTACGAAAAACATTTCTTCAACTACCGCCACGGTAACAGCAAGAGGTAGCAATTGCAAAAGAAGTGATAAGTGCATTGAGTGGGACGATCCTCTTCGTACAAAGTTCTCAGAGAAATTTGGATGACACCGGCATAGGACGCTATAGACGACGCGATACACGGGTCGAGCATGTCTCGGAGCCTTTTAACCGTTTGACATCGGCGACACGTAGAATACATTCTGCGGGCGTCCCTCGTAAGGCGCAGATTCCATCTCGCGCGTCAACCTGTCCGGTCGCCTCGTTTCTCGAAAGCTGACCGGGACAAGCACGCGGACATGCTCGAATATTCAAGGCGGGCGGACGATTCCTTTTGAACTGCTGCTCGATCCGCCGACGGGAAACGTTCGTTTTTTTTTTTCTTGTCTTTTATTCCGTCAAAATGGGAATGAAGATACAACAGAGCGCGCAACAGATACGCCGTATACCTCTGAAATCGATCGCATTCGAGGCGGCTTCGAGTGCTGACTGAGTCTTCCCACAACAGGTTGCACTTTCCCACCTGTCATATATAGTACGAGCATAGTATTCAGTGTTTGGTATTTTTGACATTATGTGACGTCCCAATTGAAATCATAATCTCCTTAGAGATTGCATTTTTTGTTTCCTTTAAATTACAACAACAAAGTGAGAAGCATTAAAGATTAAAATGTTTATATTAGATCGGTTTTATGTAGCTAATCTAATGTACACTTTTGAAAGTGAAATGTTTACTATTT